CTGCCTGGAGGGGACAATGCCTTGCTGCAACTGATTCTGCTAGACTTCAACCTACTGCAGCCTGATCTTGTCGGGTACTCAGCCACCCTCCCAGGCTGGACCACTGTCAGCTACCCAAGGGGATTACTGCCACCTCTGCTCGCCCTCACGTGTATGAAGCATAATGTGGGGTATCCTAGGAATTTCAACATAAATTCCTAGGTTTATTCCCCCTATAAATAGGAGATGAAGCCACCTTGCAAAGAGACTTTTACATACGCCGCCTTGAGCCTAAAAATTTGGAGGAAAAAGGCCTCTCATTTCTCCACCTATTCTATTTGTCGTGGCATTCCTCTTTGACAAGCTAGAGGGAGTGGAGATCTAGGCGTCTGAGAGGAGCTAGTTCGCTGGGACAATCCGTGGTAGCCGATGGAAGCTTTGGCAGTGCACGTCGAAGTCTTTTCCTCATTCCCTTTGCTATTTCCTTTCATTTTTATCATTTGGGTTGTAGGGAATGGATTAACTTGCATTGTACTTGATATATTCAAACCCTATCTTAAACTAATCTTATTTTGTGGGAGTTCATTTTAGATATTTAAGATTTACTTTAATGAATGGTTGTTTTTGTATATTATTATTTGTTTTGTTTATGGAGTTTAATGCCTTAAGGTTGTAGGAGTTATGAGAGTAGCCATTCCTTATGAGATTACTTAGTGTTCGAGAGAATGACTAAGTAGCACATCCTTAGTATTCGAGAGAAACTATGGAGGAACCACATAAGCAAGGGGTTTTAGGTAGTAACTAGGCCTAATCCACCTTAGAGATAAGGTTAGGATTTCAGTCGACTAAAAGGAGTAGTGCGTGATCGAGAGGTTAGATGTTAATGTTGCTGTAAAAAGGTATTACCGTGACATATCCTGTTATCTGGACTAATAGGATCGCTGCAGTTGCTAACGCCAATCGGTTTGCTAAGGCATCTTCAATTTGTCGAGTCCCTTGACTAAAGATAGCATAGGGCACCCATAGTAAAATATGTCGGGCAGATAAGACATAGAAGTAAGACCATTCTAAGAAGTAGACTTGAATTTCCTAAGTGACTCCTATCATTCATTCTTATAGTAGCTTTTCGTGTGAGGAAGTTAAAGTCCAAGTAATCAAATCCTACATTTACATTTTATTTTGCCTTTACATTTTCATTTGTTTGCACTCAACATGACATAATTTTCCACGATATCTCCATCTGCTACCATATTACTATTATTCTATTTCCACAACATCCATTTCATCTTGCCACATCATTTTCATTTGTACATACCATTACTAACTATACTTAGGTGAAATAGTAAATTGTTGTGATTAAGCTTATCAATTTCCTCCAATCCTTATGGATACGATACTCACTCATCAGTGTATTACTTGTTTGATTGTGTATACTTGCACATATTTTCGCGATCATATATAGTAACCACAAACACACGGATAATACACATGTGTATTATAACATCACCACTAAGGTATCATAGTATAATATCGAGTTTATGTATTGTTTTCCCCCTGCTACTAAGAATATGTCATCATATATATAATTTGAGTGTCAGTATGGCTATAGATCAATATAACATGTTATAATTACAACAAACGCTGCTAAGTTTACTCATCAGGATCGAAGCCCGTAACTTGATATCGACATTAAATCAACCCACGATTACCACTTAGTCTGATTTGAATAATAGTATATCTTACTCCTTTTAGGGTATTATTAACGTTAAAGGAGCTAATACTTAGTATTTAAGCTCAAGTGAACATTAACCATCATGCCTCAAGATAATAAGGCTCTAATCCTAAAACAACATGATAGTATTGATACTCATCTTTAGGTATCTATATTATCCCTTCAAGTATCGGTACCTACCCTCAATAGAGTGTAAAAATTAAATAGAGTGTTGATATTATCCTGTTAGGGTATCGATACTCATTCTCGATATTGATACCAAAATTTATTTTCAAGTGTGAATAAATTCTCTTAGTATTAATATCAAGGGCTTGATACCAATACTATATGAACAATATAGATACTTATGATTAACAATATTGATATTGCTAGCTAAATTTACCCAATTTTCTTTATTTGTTCTATTCGTATTGATATTGCAAGAACATTAGCGATGTTAAAACTCCAAAAATGACTTTTAAGACTCAGATTTCACTCTCACTAAAGGTCACCCCTAATGCCTAGCATGTTTCCAAAAGTTTTGATGAGTTATATAAGATCATTTGACACCTCAAAAACCTATTTATAACACTCAAACAAACATTCAATCTAAAAAAACATGCAACACACATTAACATACTTCAAACTATATTCTAACCATAAAGTATGAGTTTTATGATAATCATGTTATTGTAAAGTGTTACAGATACACTGCATATGTTTAGAATTACCCAAGAGAGCTCCTTGCTCAAGCTTCACCTAGCTTGCCCTTGTCTTTACCTGTAGACACCTGTTTTCATCCCGTTATTATTATTATTATTATTTTATTTCTTGCAGGCTCGAAATTATATCCAAACCCCTATTACAAAGTAAGTTGGGCCCCAAAGTTACAATCAAACCTAGGCCTAATTACTAAACCCTAAAAGCCTACACTATTACAAATTTTGGCTAACCCTAATCTTAGGGTTACCCACCCCCGCCACCATCGGAGGGAGAGCATGCCACCACCGGAGGGAGAGCATGCCACCACCATCTCCACCAATCATTTGCCACCGCCATGTTGCACCAGTCCTCAGTCACCGCCGCTTCCACCAACCACGTACCAGTCCCCTGCCATGTCAGTTCGCCCAAATCAACAAGCAACCAAAGCACACACGCAAACAGTGTAATCATGATATTTTGTTTTTGAAAAAAAGCTATAAACCAACAAGGGTTATAAAAACCTGAATAGACTGTTGTAAAAGGGGTTCTCCCCTCTTGGTTTTCCAAAAAAAATCAATAAAAGCAATACAAAAAAACAGATACGATTCAAGGTGTTTTTTTAAATTTTATTTTCAGTTTTGAAAAAGAAGAAAAAATAAAATAAAAAGAAACGATATTTGCATGAAATAAAAAATGGAAGGGAGCAGATCTAGTTACCTATGGTGAGTTGAACCGTATGGTCGGTTCACCTTCGTGGCAGCCAGAGTGTGAGAGAATAGAAGGGTCAGATTTTTTTTGGGGTATTTAGGGGTCCATTTAGGTGGTTTTAGCCTTAGATCTAAGCATAGGAATGTAGATAAAAGTGTAGGGTACATTTTGAGGTAGGTTTAGGTGTTTCGAACGCCGTGTGTGGCGACCGAACGACGAGGTAAGGCGGTTGGCAGTGGGCCAACCGAGGGAAGAAGAGAGAAAAGAGGATTTTTAGGGTTTTTTAAAACATCGGCTGACATGAAATAAAAAAAAAAGAGAAAAGTGGTAAATATAGGAAGACTTTAAGGGAAAATCACGTATAGGTCCTTCTATCTTTAGCGCGTTTTACAAAGTGGTCACATGTAATGACTGATTCTGCAATTTACCCACTTTCATGCATGCTTTATATTTTTAGAGTTATTTGCTATTTAGTCCCCCTAGTTTAGCCGTGTTTTTGCTTGTTAGTCATTTGTAGGGATCGATTCTACAATTTACCTATTTTTATGCATGTTATATATATTTAGGGTTATTTACTTTTTAGTCCCTCTATGTTTAGCGTGCTTTTACATTTTGGCCATGTGTAGAAACTATTTAATTTTATTTTAATGTTTTTGGACTGATTTAGTATTTTACCCATTTTTATTCGAAAGCATGTTTTAGGCTTATAAAAAAGGAATAATTATGTAAAGGTCTTTGTAGTTTTAGCATATTTATATTTCGAACTGTAATTTGTGTTTCTTATTTAATTTAATTTAGCCATACAATTTTTTATTTTAATTTCATCCCCATGTTTTATTTATCTTTATCCTTAGTAATTTTAGCACTTAATATTACAATTGTTTATTTTAGTCACTTTTGCACTTTATTTTGTTTTAATTTTTGACATGATGATTTGTTTGTTTATATTTTAGCCCTATTTGCATGTTGTTTTATTTCACTTGAATCCATAGACATCAACTAAACCATAAACCAAAACCCAAATCCTTAAATCACAACAAAACACGAAACCTCATAAGCCATTGTCAATCATAAATCCTATGTTTACCCTCAGCGATCTAGTGGTCGGATGAAGAATCCCAACAGTTAAAAGGTGTATGTCAGTGAGGAGAACAATATATCTCAAAATCATGGTGATCTGGTAGTCGGGTGTTGTGATCAGTGAACAAGAAAATTGAAAGTTTGAGAGAATTGTGAGGTTTTTATTGAGTTTCTATAAGAAACTAAACCGAAACACTTCTAGAGGAAGAAAAGATGAGTCAAACGACGTTATTGTTGGTCAGAAGTGATATCGAATGGTGCCAGTTCGATGAATTGAAGTTTTCGGATGGCATATTCTTAGAGCTTAGGGTGCTTTCCTATTAAATAGACACTAATTTTTCATTCAGAAGGAAACGACGAGTTTGATGGGAATTTTTGGGAATTTTTTGCAGTCAACATGATAGCTGAAATCTGAGTTTGGTTTAGGTTGAGGGAGAGAGGAAGAATAAGAAAGAAAAAAGAAAAAATGAGGGGGAAAAATAAATTTTTATAGGGTGGGAAAAAGTAATTCACCCATATTTTTATATAAATGGCGAGCAGGATCAAACATGTGTAATTTAAAACATGTTTCAGCACCACTTACATAAAATGTTTACCCTGATTTGAGAACAAATATACAAAAGTCACCTATGATTAATATAAACAAAATAAAAAACAACACATGAAAAATTGTTTTATTGATAATAGACTAACCAATGAGACTGGCTAGGGTTAGTATACAATGGAAATTTTGGTAAAATGTTGCAATTGAGAGAAACTGCTTGTGGCGGGCCATGTGCTATTGTCTGAAAAACATTGACCTCGTTATTCTAGTGTTGTATTGGTTGCTTTTTTAGTTTATACATTAATCTCCAAATTGACAAGTAGAAATAGACATTGATTTGCAATAAAACTTCCAAATATTACACCAGAAATAACAACAACAACAACAACCTTTCGCGCTTATTCCATTTAAAAGTTTTTGAAAACCACAAAATGGGAAAAAGATATTAAAAAAAAAGCCTTCAATTTGTTTTCCTGCAATTCGTCCTGATTTGGCCGCTTGTTCCAGTGAGTGGGCTAAGGTTTCCCATCTTCACCATGGCATTAGCAAAATCCGTCGTAAAAGATCTCAAGTTGGAACTATAAGCATTAACCTGAGCATCTGTGGAACCCCCACTAAACAGCTGCTGATCAGAGTGTAACAGCCCTTTCTGGCTCTGCAAATTCTTGAAATACGCATTGTCAAACGACGTCGGGCTTGTCGTATCTAAAGGGGAAAGGTTGTTGTCCCCGCCGGTGCTCGGACATTTCCCTCTTAAGGAAGCTGCAAAGGAGGAGTCGATGTTGGTTTCATTGTAGATTCTTGTCTGGAAAGTGGTGCACCTGGCTTGGCCGATGGTGTGAGATCCTGAGAGGGCCACCATTTCTTTAGCAGTGAAACCTTTGTTTGAAAAAGCAGAGATGAGGCCACTAAGATTCAAAGTTGGCGCTGGGATGTTGGAATTAGCGGCACTCAAGCTTGCACTAGTTGAATCTCTTCTACCCAAAAGAACCGTCCAACTAGGCCCTCCAAGCTGAAAAAAATGAGTAGTTTTTTTTTAATTAGTATGAAGTGATTATGAGATAGTATATTTTCAGAATCATTTGACTTACAGCAACAACAGAATCACGAGCAGCAACAGCAACAATATCAGCACAAGAAACAACACCAGGGCACAAGCTCTCTATCTGAGATTTGATGGTATCAATAACTTCAAATCCCCTCAAAGAGGAGTTGTTCGGAACAGCTGTTTTTTCTCCTTTCGTATTTGCAGTGTCGTCCAACAGTACGGATCCATCACATCCCTGGAATCCATTACAAAAAAAAAAACTTATATTTTTCATTTTATGTCATAAACTCTTCAGGTTATCTCCCACAATACAATTATTTCATACATGACAATGTTGGACTATATTCTGTAAAACCTTTTCTCATAGGGTTATCTTGACGTAGGTCTGCTTCTGGCCTAGACAAGAAATGCTTTTGTTTTGTTCAAAGTCAATCCTTTTTACAAATGATGACCGCATGCAAAATTATAAATGATTAAAACAAGCTTCTTTTTTTAATAAAACAGATTATTAACAAATCAATTAACCAACATGTATTTCTTTTTTTAATTTGCAATCATGTTGAGTTGGAACTGATGAAACAAGAATGTTTTGCATGGAAAGAAGGACGAGACTTGCATTGACAAAGCAATCGTGGAAATGAAGACGAAGCAAAGAAGCCCCCATGCGAGCTTCATTGGACACAGCAGAGTCCACTGCTGATTTAATGGTGGAAAGTGCTTGAGGGCAGGTTGTTGCATAGAAGGTAGAGGATAACTGGGCAGAGCCCAGCTTTATTACAAGTAATAAAAACAATCCTAAGAGGAATTTGAACTTTTTAAAAGGTGGACAACTTTTGGACGCCATGGATGAAATCAAGGAGAAAAATGAAGAAAAAAAAGTATAGCAAAGCAAGGCTTCAAGTGTAGAGCTGGTTAGTGGTGGGAGATGAAGTTTAGGAATTCCTCTATTTATATAGAGCTCTGCCTTGGTGATGGGGGATTAATTGTTGGTATCACACTGCAGTCATTATATTGAATAGAGTTAATTGCAACATACATCCCCAAACTATGACTTTTATTTTAAATTAGTCCATAAACTTTTAAACATTTTAATTTCATCCCTAAATTATGACTCTCATTCTAAATTGGTCCACAAACTCTTGAACATTCCAACTTCATCCTCAAACTATGACTCTTATTCTACATTAGTCCCCAAACTTTTGAATGTTCCAATAATATACCCCTAAATCATTCAAAACTTCAAAGTTGAAATTAGAATATTTAAAAGTTTGGAGATCAATATAGAATGACATTTATAGTTGGGGGATGAATTTGGTATGTTCCAAAGTTGGAGGACTAATTTAAAATGAGAGCATAGTTTGAGGTGAAATTAGAATGTTCAAAAGTTTAGGATTCAATTTAAAATAAGAATCATAGTTTAGAGACGTATGATGCAATTAATTCTATTAAATATTCAAATAATACGTAAGAATAAGGTAATATCCAAAGCAATTATATTTTTTATTATTAAGAAAATATATGGGCAAATATTGAATAAGGACTCTAAACTTTAGTTTATTTTGATTTTACCTCTTATTTTTTATTATTAACTATACTTTCTTCTTAATTTTCTATTATTAATTATACTTTATCCCTTTAGATGGAACTCTTATTACATCCTAAAAAGTGAACACAAATAAAATTCAAAAATAAATACAATTAATAAAATGAAAAATAAATAAAAATTCAAATTTTATGATAAACACTTACTCACCCTGAACAATACATGAATACGTGATTTAACCGGTTCAACTGATAAAATAAAAACGGATTAGTCTAACAAATCCAACCTCGAATACTATGTTTTAGTATTGGTTGTAATTGTTGTTGTGCCAAAGGGAAATGATCACGTGCGGCAGCCTTAACATACGGCTAAAAAAAGGCGCTACCAGTTTTGTTATTATTTAAATAACAAACCGGTAAAAATTTATCGGAAATATTATTATTTCTACCGGTTTTGTTATTGTTGAGAATTTTACCGGAAATGTTAAAAAAACATTTATATTTTAGGTAGAAATATTAATGTTTTAGGTAATTTTTTACTGATTTTGTTATTTAAATAATAACAAACCGGTAACACCTTTTTTAGTTGTATATTAAGGGTACCGCTCTGTAGAACTTTCTTAGGCCACATTTAATTGGTCCTAGTCATTGTCATCATGTCGAGAAGTTCTACAGTGTGACACCTTAATATAAGGCTAAAATAAGGCCCTATCGATTTTGTTATTATTTAAAAAACAAAACTTGTAAAAATTATCTTTAAAATTATTATTTTTACCTAAAACATCAATTTTTTTAACATTTCCGGTAAAAGTGCCCAATAATAATAAAATCGGTTGAAAAATTAACAAAATCGGTAGTGCTTTACCAAATTTGGTAAAGCGCCCAATAATAACAAAATCCGGTAAAGCGCCCAATAATAACAAAATCGGTAGAAATAATAATATTTTCAATATTTTTTTACCGGTTTTTATTATTTAAATAATAATAAAATCTATAACGTATTTTTTTTAGTCGTATATTAAGATTGTCGCACGTGAGAATTTTCCTATCATGTCTGTGTAATGGTTGAAAGAAATCGTTAAAACCAAGAAATAAAGAAAGTTTTGTCCCTAATTTTAGTAAGTTTTAATAATAAGGGCTTGTTTGTTTGGTTGTAATTGGTTTTTTGGAAATTGAATTCTGAAAATTGAATTACATTTCTGGAAAACGTTTTCTGGAAAATGTTTTCCGTAAAATGAATTACATTTTCCTGAAAAACATTTTCATGAAAACGTTTTACGATGTTTGGAAGATTTTTGTTTAAATTTTTTTCCACTAGTTGATAGTTTTTTAAAAATTATTTATTACAAATAGTAAATACAATAAATAATATTATTTAATATTATTATTTTTAAATAATAAAATAATTTATTTATTATTAAATATTTTTTTATAATTTTATTAATAAAAATATTAATATTGGTATATTTTATTGAAATAAAAATATTATAAATTATATTAATTATTTATTAAAGTAATAGTGTTATTTTATATTTTAAAAATATTAATTAGAATATTTTAAATATCTTTATTAAAATATTATTATACTATTATATTAATATTAAATATATAAATAATATTATTCATTATTAATAATTTAATAATATTATTTCTATGAAATTAATAAATAATATAAATTTTATTATTAATTTAGTATATATTATTAAAATAAAAATATAATATCTTATATTATAATATTAAAAATATAATTTAAATATTTTAATAATTAACATTTTGATTAAAATGATATTAACTATTTTATTTATATTAAATTCATAAAATAAAATTATTTTGAGTATTTATTCTTTGAAGTGAAAAGTTCGGAAAATGACTTACGGAAAATCAGATCGTAAGTCATTTTTCAGAAAACACAAAGGAAATTTTGTTGACCAGAAAAATATTTTACGTTGACCAATCAGTTTTCCTCCAACCAAACACTAGATAACATTTTTTGGAAAATAAATTACGTGAAACAAACCTGAAAAATATTTTTCGAAAAAACAAATTATGTAAAACAAACACGAGATTTCGAAGAAAACCAATTCTGTTTCCCCGAGGAAACATACCCTAAAAAAGTCTAAGTTGACTTGGTGTGTAGTGGAGAATCATGTTTGGTCAATATTGGAAAAAGATTCCCAATAATTAGTTGTTGCGTGCATTCCGGGTTCTATCTCTCCAAATTTAACAACATTTTTGTTTTATTTAAGATAATATTTATTTAAATTTTCTAGCAATTAATAATATATTTATTTTATAGATATAATTATTTAAATTTAAAAATATTTAAAAAGATTATTAATTTAACAACACGGTTTAATAAATTCAATTTAATATCGTTGCTTTGCTTCCGCTCAAGTTTAATTTATTATTGGGATAAACTTTATAAGTATCTTTTATGTATTTATTTAAGATTAAATTATGGAGTGACACTCTTTATTAGGTAAACGAAATGCTTATAAAGAATAAACTTTTGCCAACTCAAAATCCTTGATGCCTCACTAATCAACTCTGCACTCCTATATCAAACAACCCATTTCTCTAATTAAAATATTCTTAAAATCTTTTGGGTAAAGTACACAAATGGTCCCTCAATTATAGAGTGTTGTTTTGTTGCATTCTTCGACTATTAAAAGTTATAAAATGGTCTTCCGACTATAGGCAGTTGCTTTGTTGAGTCTCTGACTATTAAAAGTTACAAAATGGTCACATGACTATTCATATATTTCAAACTCGTCTTTCCGTTAAAAAATTGACGACAACCTGAGTTAGATATTAACCTGCTAATTGGGATATGATCAAATATGATCCCAAAATCTCAAACGACTATTATATCTTAGTAAGAATGTTAACATCTAGCTCAGACGAGCATCAAGTTTTTAACGAAAAAAAAATACATGTTTGGAATATAATGAATAGTTGGGTGACCATTTTGTATGACCATTTTGTAACTTTTAATAGTCGGAGTACTCAACAAAGTAGTACCATGTAGTCGGGGAACCATTTGTGTATTTTACCCAAATTTTTTTAACAAATTCATATTCTTAAAAGATTTTTTAAAACGTTTAAAATTGGAATATTAAGTGAAAGTATCGATTTTATGTGATTTTTGTGTGTGTGTGTGTGTATGATTTTTTAAAACATCTTTCATGGAATGATGTTGATTCTTTAAAAGAAAAAGGAAGATGATTTTATATGGTAGATAAAAATAAAATAAAATATACCAACAGTCCCTAAACTAAGAGTTTCTTATTGTTTTGATAAGTGAATTTTTAAAATTTACAAAAAAATCATTAAATTTGTTAAAAGATAACATTTTGGTGACTTTCCTGTTCCATGTCATTTAGAGGTAATATGGCATGTTAATTAACTCAATGATGAGTATCTTATTTAATCCTCAGTTGTAACTGGAAGATGAATTAAAGCTCAAAATTAAAAATAATGATTGTTTTGCTTAACAGCAATCGATAATTGGCATCAGGTACCAATTTTTTTTTATTTTTCGTATAAAACAACAACTGAATTTCATTAATAAAAATAATTGAAGAAATCGAAATTACAATGTACCCAAATATGAAAAAAAAAATTAGAGACAATAGCCACACAAAAATTCTTAAAAAACAAAAATTATAAACCTAAAGATGCGAAAAAATGAAATTTTTCCTTGAGAATAAAGAACCCAATAATCTTCTTAAAAACTTCTTGTCTCTGTCTAACGAGGTGTTTTACGAAATAATAAAGGAGTGGTGAGCGAACCAAACTATCTGGCAGGTTGATTCGCCACATAATTCTAATTATATCGGCAAACAATCTTTTACCAAAAAGAGATTTTACCATATGTAACCATTGACAAACCAATCAGAATAAATATCGTTAAGGTCTTTGTGCGAGCACCAAACCGACCACAAAGATATGCGAAAAACGTATCAAAAGTCATAAGGAATGTGTCACAAGAGCGGAGTAAAAACGTGTCACAATAAGAGAGAAAAATGTGTCACAAGAGGAGAGAAAAGTGTGTCATAAGGATAAAAATTCTTATTCAAAATTGAAAAAAAAACACTCAACAGAGAAGGAAAACAAAAAATATAGTATAAAAAAATAAGAGAACTAATAATCATCGATGATCGGTAACCAATATTAAGATTAATATCATCGTCGGCTAAATAAAAATAAAAAGAAATAGGAAAGCGAAAAAAAATTTAAATTAGGAAAAACCCTAATATTTTGAAGATTTTTAAAAAATATATAGATAGGAGTGTTATATACGTACCATATAGTTTAACTT